AAGTTGGGTGTGTGTGTGTGTGTTGAATGCTCTCATTAAGGAGGCCAGACTTGGTGGAGGTGGTTGACAGGGGCGGAGCTGCAGGCTATTGAAGGCTGCTCTGCCCCCTGCTGTGCTCTTTGCTTCAGCGTGAGCTAGGAGGCAGGTTTCAACCCCCCCCCCCCGAAATTTTCAACCCTCCCCAAAATTTTCAAACCCCCCCCTCAAAATTTTCAATCCCCACTCCCAAATTGTCAACCCTCCCCGAATTTTTTTTCTGGCTACGGCCCTGCTGGTATGATTCCCAGTATAAATAACTACAGAAATGCAGCAAAAACACCAAACAGCCCCATTATGTGCTCCCCTTTTCCATCTTTTAATGACTCATGTAATTGTTTAATTGAGCAGTATAATGCTTTCCTAAATGAAGGAATAATAAAATCAATCTGTAGTCACTTCATGAAAGATCACATGCTTTCTCAATTCTTCTTTTGAGTGCACTTGGTTATACAAATGGCAGTATCACGTTTCCCATGTTCCCACACTAATCAGTATAGGTCAACTAATGTTGTGACTCTTTAACTGGACCATAAGGAAGGCTGATCGAAGGAAGATAGACGCTTTTGAACTGTGGTGTTGGAAGGAAAAAGGAAGAGGGGCCGACCAAGGGCAAGATGGATGGATGGATGGTATCCTTGAAGTGTTCGGCTTGACTCTGAAGGAGCTGGGGGAGGTGACGGTCAACAGGGAGCTCTGGCGTGTGCTGGTCCATGAGGTTACAAAATGTCAGAAGCAACTGAACGAATAAACAACAACCAGGGAAATCTGCTGAACCATTTGGGTTTAAAACTTAGGTGCCTCTTCTTATCCACAAGAAATACATATCCTAGCAATGGAGTCTGTTGATTTTGCACTAATTGAGCTTTCACTTGGTCATCAGAAACACTCTTTTTCATATAAAGTCCAAAGTCTAATAATGGCACAGATCCTTGTCTTTGCTTCGGTTCCATTGTTTCCTTGGCAGGGCTTGGATTAGATCAGTGTTGATTGATTAATTCTGTTTTAATGTTGACCCTTTGTAATTTCAAACTATTTTGAAATTTCAGTTTCTAAGCTGCCTTAAATCCTGGTATATAAATAGTTAATAATAATTTGGCATCCTTAGACTGCACCAAGTTCTCTGCAATTCCACCTCTATTTCCCATCCAGTTGCTATTTTGACATCTGCTATCCACTCCCCTCCTTTACAAGGCATTGTATTTCCTTTCCTATTCAAATCACCCCAGGAGCCAATGATAATACTCTGAAAAACATTTTCTCTCCACTTATCCCTTTTCATAGTAATCATGTACCTATTTTGAATGTTTCCTTCTTAAACAAAACAGCACATTTCCTATAGATGTTCCTGTACTGAGTTATACCAGATATTTAAATCCTCTTTTAATCTTCTTGTCAATGTATGATTTGACTTCTTCGATGCGAATTAGGGTGCATCTACACTGTAGAATTGATGCAGTTTGACGCCATTTTAAGTATCATCATGGAATCTTGAGATTTGTAGTTTGGTGGTGCACCAGCATTCTTTGGAAGAGAAGGCTAAAGACTTTGTCAAACCAGAACTTGATTCTATAGCATTGATTATGGCAGTTAAAGTGGTGTCACTGTCAAGCTGCATTAATTCTACAGTGCAGATGCACCCTAAGTTAATAAAACTATTTCTGAAGACCTGGGTTCAGTCTCATATTTCTTCAGTTTATGGCATTAGGCTGCCTTCACAAACCATGATGAAGTTCAATGCTAAAAAATCTGTCACATGGACTTAGTTTGCATATACTCAAGGTACCTACAGTCATATAGGCAGATTTCATAACATCCTTCTTGTTTTCTGGCGCCAAAGACAGGTATGACAACTAGCTGTGTGCAGATGCCAGGTATGTAGATGAGCACAGTATCAACAGTCCTCAACATGTCCCAGATGCTTATTGAAACCCTCACACCGTCTAGACATGTTTTATAATTTCTTTGTCTTTCACAATAGAACTCGTAAATCTAGGGGATTTAGACGGAATTTTGGCAAGCAGATACAGCAATAGTTAGTCAAAAGCTTTTAGAAAACGGCATTCATAACCATTTGGAGATCCTAACCTTTTGGAAAAGCATGACCTTTCAGAGAAGAGCCAAAAACCTGTTTGAGTAGAATCTTCTGAAGTAGTATACAACCAGATGTAATTATGAAAGGCCATTTGGCTTCAGTTGTTAGACTGATAACCTGTTGTCAATCAACCCTACCTTACCCTCTAAAATCCCCTGCTTAGATTCATTTTACTGCCGTTCACACCCAGTTTTTTAAAATTTTAATCTATTAGATTTGGCCCTGCCCACAGTGTTGGATCCTCCTGCTTTGAATTTTTTGTTTTATTGCTGATTTGTTATTTATAATGGCTTTGTATTGTATTTTTACTTTTATTTTACTTGAATTTTTCTTTCCTTTATGTTATTGCTGTGTTGATTTACTGATGTATGCATTGTCAGGCTTGGCCTCATGTAAGCCACCCTGAGTCCTCTTGTGGAGATGATGGTGGGGTATAAATAAAGTTTTTTATTATTATTGTCACTGATCTGTTAGGAAACAGTGAATATGTCAGTGCACAAAACAGCAGTGCTTCAGAAAGGTTTTTCACTTGTCCAAAAATACATCTACCCTCCCATAAAACAACTTGTTTTATATTATGCACTCAAGAGACAAAATAAAGTAGACTTTGGTAAAAATAATATTTGGTTTCCTCACCACTTCATGTGTTAAGTATACACAGGTACACACTTTACCAGTCCAGTTACAGATATGTTTGTTTGTTTATTTATTTACAACATTTGCATCCCACTCATATCAGCCCGAAGGCGACTCAGGGCGGCGTACAAGTCGGCAACAATTAGATGCCATATATAAAAACACATATATCAATAAAAAGCAAAAACATCACAATACATGTTTGAGATAATCTGTGTGTGCAGATGGCATAGAGGATCTTTCTTACAATCAACAGCAGACAAGTGCATGTTTCAATATGGAAACTTGTTAAATTTATTACACTTTTAGTTCCTCTAAACTGTAATTGAAATCTTTGGATTTCAAGATTTTGGATTTTTAATACAAATGTTGCTTTATTATCTATTTCAGTTATATCCATTTGACTATTTTATTGAATTGATTTATGTATTTCTAATTTCTTTTAGTATTGCATTAATTTCATATTTATGGTGTTCCTTCCCCTGTATATATGTGTGCACTTTTGGTAGAGCAGGCTTGTTGTCTTCTTATTCATGAAGCACCGTTTACATAATTGATGACAATATATAAATAATTCATTTATCTTGCTTGAACTCATGTGAGAGCTTCTTGGAGTTGCATTTGGGGGAAAGGTGATATATACATTAAATATATCTACAGTTGTTCATATTGTGATTAGATGATCTGCAAAAAGGATCACTAAAAGCAATAAAAGCACAAAAAGGATCACTAAAAGGGTCTAAAAATGAGGACCAAGATTTAAGATCTGCTTTGATCCCAACCTTTTTTCTAGCAACAAGATCAAGTAGCTGAAAGAGTCACTATACATTGAACACTAATGAATAACAAAAAAGAGGGTTCTGTTTACAACCACAACGAAGGAAGGCAAGTACAAGGAAGTATGTTCATGTTGAACTTACCAAAGAGGAGAGGGCTTCAAGATAACTATCTTACACGCAAAACCAGAAAAGTTTGACCAGTTTTATGAGAATTTTGCATTCTACCCATGGTGATGTTGCAAGCTACAGTAGTTGATTGATTAAATAGACTATGATCATGGCCATGTCAAGAGATTTTGCTGTCTGAGACAGAACAAAATGGTGCTCAAGTTCAAACCATGTGCAGAAGGTGACAGAACCGATAGTTGAGGCTTCACTAAATACTGGCAGTAGAACAACATCCTACCCTACATACCTAGAAAATAGCAACCTTCTACAAGCCTCCTATAGTAGTTATGTATATAATTCAGATTGCTTACTCTATTGTATATGTGTGTATTCATATGCAGATTTTCTTAACTCTAAGTTGTGGGATGGACTGTAGACCATGTGATCAGATCTGGGACTATTCAGGCCTGAGACTCCATTTGAGAAAGACAAGACTCCATTCAAACGCATGACAGAGATGCTTCAGACTTTGAAGATTATAAATAAGATGCCCTGTGTTATCTGCACAGAGAAACTACTGTACTTCAAACCTATCTCTAACTGGACTGATAAGCAATATATCTGTATGCTGAATACATGAAGTGTGTGAGTAAACCAACTATGCTATTTTTAACCAAGACTACTTATTTTTGTCTCTTGATAGTATGATTTAAGCCAAGATGTTTTAAGGGAGAGTAGATTTTTTTGGGCAACACTTCTGGAACTATGCTGTTTTTTGTGCATTGGCATATCTTTATTCCTAACAGTTCAATGAGACAAGTTTTTTTTCATGTCAGGGGTGACTTGAAAGACTGCAAGACACTTCTGGTGTGAGAGAATTGGTTGTCTGCAAGGATGTTGCTCAGGGGACGCCTTGATGTTTTGATGTTTTACCATCCTTGTGGAAGGCTTCTCTCATGTCCCCGCATGGGGAGCTGGAGTCAAATTACCTTGTGGATATATACCACTAAGGAAAACATTGACTTAAACGAATATTTAACTCTTCTCTGGAAGATCGTACTTCAAATAGTGTGAATGCCAAATAATGCCAACAGGCTATGGAGATTCTGGTTTGCCAAATGGTTATGATCTCAAAGGTTGAGCCTTTCCAAAAGAAACTGTAAGCTCAGCTATTTTTGAATGGCAATAATTATTTTTGCAAGAAGAAATGAAAGTTTTTTTTGCTGCAATATGCAGTACCCAGTCAGCAAGTATAATAGGCAGATCCCAGGTCTATTACAAATAGCAGCTCAGCCTTCAGAGACCACTTTTGGATAGTAATGACCACAGCACAACTTTTCCACTGCAGATTTTTATTTGCATAAATACAGTATATAAAAATTTCTGGTGCATCAAACATTCCATCACCACCCAGTACAAAAAGGCCTAGATTTTGAAAGGGACTCCGGCATAGTAAGACCTTTGCTAGCTTTTGCCTGGTGTAATGATCAGAGGAACAAACACTTTCTGCATGTTCTTTCATCAGCTAATCCAGTTTTGGCTTTATAAAAAATAACTCATTTAGAGTCTTCTCCTATTCTATAAGAACACCAGAGCTACCCTCAAATAAAGTCATTGGGTCTCTTCCACCATTATTACCATGAGATCTTTGGCCTTATAGAAAAATACAAAAGGTACAGATACGATCCATGAGAGGTAGACAAGGATTACCTAGGGCCTCCTGAACAAACCCAAGGTTTCAAGACAAGACTCCTTCAGTTAGCCACCTTTGCCTTCTTCTCTTGTTCGGTTGCCTCCCCTGAAGACACTCCAGCAGGGGAGAAGGGTCCAGCCACCCATGTGAGGGGAGGCTTCCTCGTCACGTACTCCACAACTTCATGCACAGCATCCTGGGCCTTTCCAATCTTCTCTGGGCTCTGATTCAGGACACCACTGGGGATATCCTGGAAGGTTTGGGCATTTGAGAGGGCAGCCTGAACTTCTTCCAGGCTGCTGTAAGCCTCGTGGACCTTTTCTTTGAGAGCATCAGGGAGGCCCTCCATGTCAGTCAGGAGCTTCAAGCAGTTAGCCTGCATCTGCCGGGTGATGGTTTGGGATACTTGCAGCGCCTGGGATTCCATCTGTTATGGAAAAGAGACCTGTTAGGGCAATGGGGCTGTTGTAGACCAACCAGAGAAATGGACGGGATGATCCTCATTGACATTTTCAGTATGTCCAGCATATACACATTTGTTAATGCATTGGTCACTGTTGCCAACTGTTTAGCTTCCCACACCTTGGTAGAGGTTCTCTCTCTTTTTTAATGGTAACTCTTGGGCTGGGTGATGTGATGGTAAATACCTTAAAGGTTCCAGATCCTGTCTCATCTTGGAAGCTAAACAAGATGAGTTGTGGTTAGTAGTTGGATGGGAGCAGAGGCGGCCCTAGGTAATTTTCAACAGTAAGCAAACAGTATTTTGGTGCCCGCCCCCCCAACCAATCACTGATATATATTTTCTGTTTGTCGTGGGAGTTCTGTGTGCCATATTTGGTTCAATTCCATCACTGGTGGGAGTTCAGAATGCTCTTTGATTGTAGGTGAACTATACATCCCAGTAACTACAACTCACATATGTCAAGGTCTCTCCCCCCCCCCCCCCCCCCCCCCAGAGTGCCTCAAGAGCGCCCCTGGGCAAAATCAACTATACTCAAATGCTTACTTTGTGTAATGGGTTGAGCCGCCCCTGGATGGGAAACTACCATTTAAATACTGGGTTCTGTACGCTCTACTTCAGAGGAACGAACTGGTAAAACTACCTGTAAGTTTATTTGGTCTAAGGAAATCCAATGAATTTCCTGTGATGGCCATACATTGGCAGATGATTTGTACTTAGACACAAATAACACACAAAACAGATCCCTAAAGTATATAGTCATATTGGCTGGCTGCCAACATACCTCTGCCTGACTGGGCTCACTGATCCCGCTCTGCCCTGGCTGTCCTCTGATCCACTCCAGCCACATCTCTCGCAGCTTCTCTTGGCCTCGTTGAATTTTATATTCCCAATTCTGCTTCGTAAACTTCAGCTGGAAAGGAGTTTTGGAAATTATGCCATGAAATACAAGCACAAAGCTTACAGATACTACTATACTTGGCTCTACCGCTGTTACCTTCTAGGACACTGTTGAAGGAAGGGTATTTTACTTAATGCAACAAAAAACAAAAACAAAAATCCAAAACCAAACCAACCCCCTCCGCACCAAGAATGGGGATGAAGCACTCTTAATGATTTCCTCTAAGATTTGTGCCACCCTCCAGATCTTGTTGGATTGCAAAGTCCTATCAGTCCCAAGAGCATTGACAACAGTGAAGTTGCTGGGAGTTGGACGTTCAGGTAGAAAGTTGCATAATTATCACCCCTGTTCTGAGGGACAACAACTGCTCTGCTTCAAGGTTGGTCTCAAAGCACAGGACTGAAAGAGGAGAGAATCTTTGACCTTTCAGGTGTTTCACAATTTTCCATCTCTGGTAAGTGGTTGTGGGAATTACAATCAAATGTATTTGGAAGATCACATGCTCCCCATTTCTAGGGCAGAAAAAAAAGGCAACTGTAAATACTTTTCCTCTGAGCACTGCAGTGAAGCCCTGCCCTAAAGAAACAACACAGATAGTCTAGTCCAGTGGTTCTCAACCTGTGGGTCCTCAGATATTTTGGCCTTCAACTCCCACAAATCCTAACAGTTGGTAAACTAGCTGGGATTTCTGGGAGTTGTAGGCCAAAACACCTGGGGACCCACAAGTGGAGAACCACTTGTAAGGAAAAACTAATTTGGTGTGTTGTTTTTGTGAGAGTTAGGGGTAGAAAACTGGAAAGACATACTGATAACTTGTGAGTAGATCCCATAACTCAAATTTAACAAAGCTAAGCTTGGAGACCAGTGAGTTATTAAATTGGGAAGTTCTGCTTGGCCCTTTTAGGTTCCACCACTGAGCAAAGAGGCACAGCGATACTTCTTAAAAACATACCAGAAATCAATCACCACATATCAACAAAGTCCAGTCTTTCTACAAGTGTTGTACTATTTTCATTTCATGGATCTAGTCCCACTCATGCCATCCCATCCACTGAAAGCTTCCTGGCTTTGGGCCTGTTTTAAATCCAAGTGCATGGAATCGTTTATTATTTTTATTTACTTTATTTATATCCCACTCTTCTCACCCGAAGGGGACTCTGTTACAATCAATCATTTACATGTGACAGATGCTACTCTGGCATTTAGAGCTTATGCTGAACCTCAAGGAGTCTGGCTCTTTCCCAACAGGGCATCTACCGAGCCCTTCTCTCAAACCCCTACATAGATGTTGGAACAGTCAAAAGAGGTCTTCCCGGTTCTTACCAAGTACATGAATTGCTCAAGGTGGAACAGGGCCATGTCAAATGTTTGCTTGACTCGTTGGACTTTTTCTAGAGAGTGATGGTAGGCTCTGCTGCGAAGCTTGGCTGAGAGCGAGCCCAGGCGCACATAGTACTTCTGGTCTGCCGTTTGTATTATCAGAGGAGGCGTATCAGACACTTCCAGTGCTGCAGAGGCTGCAAGGGCGGCTACGGAAAAGAAAAGGGTGTTAGCAGGACACGGCCACCTCTGCTGCAGGCACATGATGTATCCTTTTATCAAGTAGCCTGGGAAATCTTAGCTACTAGAACAGACCATTGCTAACTAGGGGAGGAAGAATATGGGGTTTAGTTGTAACATTTGCATGTCTAATCACACTCCCATTCCTCCCTCAAACTGAGATTCACATGATTTCATTATGACTACAATGAGTGCCACAATGTATTCTTCTCATATACATCATTTTCCCCTCTTCTATTCTCTACTTGCTGTTAAAATTTAAGATGTCACTTTAGGGCATGGATTTCTGCTGTAAAGCACTACAATTATTGAAACAGTTCTGCAAAGGTGACAGCAAATGATTGTAAAATTTATTGATTAGTCCACTGACCATATCAACAGGTGACAGCAAATCTATATAAATAAAAATGTAATGTTCGTTAGTGGGATTAACATAACTCAAAAACCACTGGACGAATTGACACCAATTTTGGACACAAGACACCTAACAGTCCAATGTATGTCCTTCACTCAAAAAAATGATTTTGTCATTTGGGAGTTGTGGTTTCTGGGATTTGTCATTTATGTACAATCAAAGAGCATTCTGAACCCCACCAATGATGGAATTGAACCAAACGTGGCACACAGTTCTCCTATGACCAACAGAAAATACTGGAAGGGTTTGGTGGGCAGTGTCCTTTGCTTTTGGAGTTGTAGTTCACCTACATCCAGAGAGCACTGTGGACTCAAACAATGATGGATCTGGACCAAAATCTACACGAATACTCAATATGCCCAAATGTGAACACTGGTGGAGTTTGGGGAAAATAGAATCTTGACATTTGGGAGTTGTAGTTCCTGGGATTTGTAGTTCACATACAATCACAGAACATTCTGAACCCCACCAACGATAGAATTGGGCCAAAACTCCCATACAGAATAGACATGTGGGCCACAGCAACATGTGGCAGGGGACGGCTAGTGTTTTACTAAGACTATGGATTCAGCTAACTCAGGCCCCTTCTACACTGGCATACAATCCAGATTATTAAAGCAAATAATCCACATTTATTTATTTATTTATTTAATATATTTGTATACTGCCTTTCTCAGCCTGTGGGTGACTCAAGGCGGTTTACAGAGGCGAAATTTAATGCCCAAACAACATAAAACATTTAAAACATTAATATAAAATATATAATCATAATAAGATCAATAAAACATAACAAATTTCCTAGTTAAAAACACATTATCTGCTTTGAACTGGTTTATGAGTCTACACTGCCAGATAATCCAGTTCAAAGCAGACAATCTGGATTTTATATGGCAGCATAAAAGGGGCCTCAGCATTGTTTATACTAACTAGCAATGGCGTTGCAAGCTGGTAACATTCCCAGTTCTGACTGATGGATTGGGATCGGAATGCTTCCCTCAGCCTCATATCATTTAAGGATGGGGATGGAAGAATCACACACTTTTGCACTTTCAGAGCCACCTCTAGACTTGCTGGGTTTTTTTTCCTGAACAGCCATAACAAGAGAATCAAGATTGCTGGTTGGGGGAGTTGTCTTAAAAGCCTCTTCCAGAAATCCTGACCAAGATCACTATGTGTTCAGGAGGGAGTAATTTGGGCCATACAGTTTCATGGGGTGCATTAGGAACAACCAAAGTCTACATTATAGCAAGGATTTGATATCTGACTCAACTATTCAGACTAGAGCACACTCCAGTAGAATAGATACAGACTCAACATTGTTTCAATCTACATCACTGGAGGTCGCATCAATATTTCCCCAGGGAAGAATCTACATTGTCTTACCTAGCTCTGAATCTGTTATTGGGAGATATTTGTCTATCCAAAAATCTGATTTGCTGATCATTTCGCTAACACCATTAGACACCATCTGCCCCATGCTGGTCTCCATCACAGTATGCACACCATTCCGCACAGTAGAACTGGCCATCTCTATGCTCTCCTGGGCAGCTTCTGTGACTTTTGTATAAACTGGTGCCAAGGACTCGGTGAGGAGGCCTTTGGCATTGGATACAACCTGTAAAGAAGTCAAAGGGCAAGGAGTTGGGATCATTGCATTGAGGAAAGTCACAAAACCAAAGCTTCAGTGCAGCCTTCCCCAAGAGGCATCAATAGAGCTCTAAACCTTTGAGCACTCACTGGGCTCTAGTTCTGCAATACTCACTACCGTATCGTAAATAAATATCTTAACACTGAGTGGGAATGAAACTGAAGTGGCATATAGATGGTACATGACACCGCAGAAACTGGGAAAATGTTACAGAACTATATACATAACATGCTGGAAGTGTGGTGAAAAAGAAGGAACATATTTCCACATGTGGTCATGTGACAAAGAAGTCCTTTTGGAAAAAAAATACAGGATACTATCCAGAAAATACGAGAGATAAAGATACCAATTAGACCAGAAACATTCCTGCTAGGAATACACAAACTGAAAATAGAAAAAAAATGCAGACAAACTCCTATTCCTGATGACCACAGCAGCAAGGATCTGCTATGCAAAATTATGGGGGGGAAAGACAACCGAAGAGGAAGATTTGATGACAAAAATCATAGAAATTAGAAATATGGACAGACTCACCTTCCTAATCTCAAAGAATAAGGGGAAGACAATGAAGGAAACTGACTGGAGACAAATTACTGAATTTTTAAAACAAACAAACAAACAAAAACAAGATATTGATTTGATGAAGAAGAAAAGAATACACCAGAACAGGAAAGAGAAGAAGGGAGAGAGAATGAAATTAGGAGAAAGAACAAAAGTAGGAAAAGGAAAAGACCCCAGAGAAGATACTTGGAAGTCAAGAAAAACTTCAATACTTTATTTTATTTTTCTCTTTTCTCTCTTTTTCTTTTCTCTCTCTCATCATTCTTTTAATGATTTTAACTGAAAATTCTCAATAAAGATTATTTTAAAAAAACTGAATGGGATGTTTACTATAAATTCCACTAGTGCAAACAAAAGCTTTGCTAGGGAAAGAAAATGGAGCAAACAGTTTACACAATGACACAACATGCCAAAAGCAGCTCATGTATTACTGAATTTGTTGATAAACTTCTGACAGCAACTGTGAGAAGACAGCACCAACTGCAGCTTGAGCCCAAATAGAGAATGATCTTGATAACTAGACAGACCAGCTGTCCACCGATTTTGGATTGTTTACATTTGGAGATGGGGAAGAGAACCTGTGATCTGTCATGTGTTGTTGGACCAGGGACACTCCAGGACATTTGTCTCAAGGAAAGCAACAAATGGAAGCCCTCACACCTAGGTTGAGGTGCAGTGTTTTGGCAAATGAAGCTGCAAATGCCACATATGTTTTTCTCCATCTGTGATATTGAAAATCACAGAAATTAAAACATCTTCTGCCCTTTCAAGGCACTCCAGATCTGCTGTTTCATCTTGAATATTAACAGGGCTGGTCTTACATGGGTCTCTGAACCCTCTAAGTCACTGATAGCACCATCAGGAATTGAGTGGCTTGGTGTTGTGGTTTGGTAATATCTAGGTCCCCTTTTGTTCTCCCATTAACCAAAGCAGAGCCCCTTAGATGTTTACTACAACTCCCATCAGTCCTTTTGTTCTCCCATTTACCAAAAGCAGAGCTTATTAGATGTTTACTGCAACTCTCATTCGTCCAAAGCAGCATACCCAATTTCAAACGACCATGACAACAGCAATCCAAACATTTCTTTAGGACTATACTTTGGCAGTATAATACTGAAACAAAGTTAAGATGTTACCTTTTCCACTGTCTGCTGCACAACTGGGAATCTTTCTTGTAGCACATCAAGAGACTTGCAGGCAAGGGTGTCCACCGCAGTAACTGTAAAGGCAAAAGGTTACAGTTCAGTTTCTTGTTGGCTGCCTCAATTGTTTGCAGGCGAGGGTTTAAGATTAGGATTATTTGAAATTGATCCATACATTATTTACTGAAAACTTGTGCATTGGGTTGTATTGCACAAAAGGAAGTTAGCAATACAAATTCAACTATACAACTTGCATTCATGTTGACAGCAAACAGTCTTTCTGCAAACATGCAGAATTAAGTCTGAGAGCTTCTGCACATGACTCATGGGTTCTGTCACTGTGTGTTGGCCCCACACCGCGATGGGTGTGGAACCATTTTAGCTCTTCTGTTTAAGGTATGTTTGTAGAGTTTAGTAATTCCTCATGAGAACGGAGAAGCTCCAGTGGACATGTAAATATCACAGTTCTCTTTTTAAATCTTCCACTTACAGTTTTAAAGGGATAGGGAGAAGGACATGACTATGATGTGCATTCTGGCAGTTGTTAGGACTGGGACATCTACTGCAATTGTAACTAGCCCAAAGGAACCACTGCTCTGCCTCAAAAAAGGGGATCTCGGGGACCACAAATAAATAACATGACTTAGTAACAGATTTCTTACATATCATGAACTGATACAGGTGACCTATATCAGGTGAACTAGCAGTTCTGGCCCAGTTTACCTATCCGAACCTATCTCCACTACGAACCACCCAGGACCTTAAGAACGTTGGGGGAGGCCTTGCTCTCAGTCCTCCCACCATCACAATTGCACTTGGTGGGGACGAGAGACAGGACCTTCTTTGTGGTGGCCCCTCGGCCATAGAATTACCTCCCAAATGAAATCAGATCTGCTCCATTTTCCCTGACCTTCCGACAAAGAGTGAAATCCTGGCTGTGGGATCAGGCCCTTCCGGACTAGACTGACTTGCTGGCAATGTTACAGTTTAATGGACTATGATGGACTGCTTTTAGGTTGACAACTTAAATTGGTGATGTGTTTTAATGTTTTTATATTGTTTTTATTATAATAGGTATATTTATGTTTTTTCTTGTTGTGGGCACTGTGCCGGTTGTTGCCGCCCTGAGTGCCGCCCCGAGTCCCTCTGTGGAGGTTGAGATAGGACGGGATATAAATGCCATAAATAAATAAATAATATCAGCGGTGCAGTTGGTAGAGTTCAATGCAAACCCTTCAAATACAGGAAGAACTCTATTCTCCCCCTTAACATTTTAAACCAGATTCATGATATTAATGCTAGCTGACTACATTCTGGATGCAAGAATAAATCCACTTTAAATCCGGTTTCTGCCTCCTGCAGAATTCTGGGGATTGTAGTTTAGTGAGGCTGTTAAAGGCTTCCCCCTAAACTACAAACCCCAGAAATCTGCACGAGGCAGAAACCACATTTAAAGTGGATTCATTCTCCACTGTTATGAAGTAGCCATCTCTCCCCGTGCCCTATGTTTCTTTAGGATACCTGCCTGTAGTGTGCAAACAGAACATTGCTCTAAGGCAGTGGTTTCCAGCCATTGATCTTCTGGGTGTTTTGGACTTTAACTCCCAGAAATCCCAGCCAGCTTACTATCTATTAGGAATTGTGGGAGATGAAGTCCAAAACACCTGCAGAACTAAAGGTTGGGATCTACTGCTCTAAGGTAACTTTCCCAACCCAGTACTCTCCAGATGTGTTTAACCATAACTCCCATTATCTTCAGCCAATGTTGGCTATACTGACTGAGATGCTGAGTGTTGAAATCCAACACAATTGGAACCCACTATGTAGGAAAAGGGATGTTATGGAGGGAAGAAATACTTCCTTTCAACACCCTTTAGAATGGAATCCACCCATGCCTCGCAGTTACTACTAACCTGAAAAACTATGCCCCTCCAAATGTAAATATCACAGTTAGGTACCTTTTGCCCAGAACTCACCAGTTAGGATGTTACAGGCATCCCACAACAGCCCCCAGGGCTAAATTTCTAGGCTTACCTTGTTGGTAATAAGAAACTTTGGATGCTTAAGCCAACCTCTAGGAAACTATGGGCATTTACATATTGATGAGACTATGAGACCACAGCTGTTCACTTGGGGATGAGCGGGAATATAGTCTCAACATCTGCTGAGGGTCATAGATGGGACAATGTTAATGAACACGCTGAATGCTAGCTATACTGGCCTGTAGCCATGTACTTACTTTGAGGTTCAAGTTTATCCAGAAGAGGCTGTGCCCCACTTGCTGCTGTAGTCGCAATAGCTTTCACTCCCACCTCAGCCATATCACAGACTGCCTGGATAGCTGGATGTGACTTCTTGGCAGAAGTATAGGTAGCGGACACCATGTCATAGGTAGAGCTGACCAAGGGAAGTTCGGCTACTTTTTTAATTACACACTAAGGAGAAATATTGCATCGTGTTACAATTTTGTTGCTGACTTACAAAGCCTCCTCACAAAGGCTCCCACTTGGACCCAGAGCTACATTTAACTTTGCAGGGATAGACTCTACTTGGCTTTCTCCTATCAGAGAGTTTAATTAACAGTGTATTCATATCAGAAAGCAACGAGTGAGGGACATGTTATCTGTTCTTTCATCTCAACTCTTTAAAGAGCTGCCAGAGATCAGACAAAAATATAGAGCAAATCCTATATTAAAGTTCTAATAATAGGGCTGTGGTGGCATAGCGGGTTAAACTAAGCTGCAGAATATACTTATTGGAAGATCAACAGTTCAAATCCACAGATGGGGTGAGCTCCCATTGTTAGCCCCAGCGTATGCCAACTTAGCAGTTTAAAACATACACATGTGAGCAGATCAATAGGTACCACTTTTCTTCTTTCCTTTCTTTGTTATTTATCTAGTTATCTCTCTCCTTTTCTCAGTGGAGGCTTGGCTTGCTTTAGGGGTTTTTGGTCTTATTTTATAGATTTTTTTTCTCTACTTTCTCAATTTACAATATACCTATATTTTAATGGAATCTAAAAAACTCAATAAAGATTATTTTTAAAAAATGGGTACCACTTTGGTGGGAAGGTAGCAGTTCTGCATGCAGTCATGCTAGCCACATCACCTTGGAGGTGTCTACGGACAACACCGACTCTTCGGCTTAGAAATGTAGATGAGCACCACACCCCAGAATCAGGCACGAGTGGACTTAATGTCAAAGGGAATCCTTTCTCTTTTTAATGGCTCTCATGGCTATTTATAAAGAACCAAAAGATCAGAAGTCTCACAAACAGATTGGAAATTTAGCTTTTGAAAAGGACTAGTCATTACTTGGGTCATCTAACAAGTGGTTACTGGAGTCCAGAAAGGTAATTCATGGACTGTTATTATTGTGCTGCCAAAAAACAACAACTATTAGATTCTCATTTCTGGGCAAGCAGTCTTGCATGGAAGCTATCTCTCCACCGCCCCAACCATCCCCACACACTGGAACAGTACCAGCCCCTCTTCCTATGACATTCAGGGTCAGGGAGAAAAGGCAGCTCCAGTTCAGCTAATAATTTAGTGTGACTCCTGTTATTGGTGTGCCTCATGTTTCTCCTAACTTTATATAGAGCTGTGCTTTCCCCTTTCTCTGCTGTAGTATGAGCAGCCATCCACATGACCTCCTCCTCCCCAGATGTCACAGCATGAGACAAACAGCAGTTCCTGCTCCTTTGAAGAGTAGCAAATTAGAGCTACTATGGGCAAAAGAGAACTTTGCCAATCAAACTAGTGTTTCTGTTATTTGAGAACCACTTTCCACTAAGCTATAACTTATATATGTTTGCATTGTGCTGCCACTGTACAGTATCAACTGTTTGGTTGCACATCATTGTTCACCTACCAGACGATCATCTCCAGTGCTTTCCAGGCTTGCTGTCTGTGCCGTTTCTTCAGTGGAAGACATGATGAGAGTGAACGGGAGATACACTGCAGAAAGGCAACATCAGCATCAATGTGTTGTCAAATGCTTTCATGGTCAGAATCACTGGGTTGCTGTGAGTTTTCAGGGCTGTATGTCCATGTTCCAGAAGCATTATCTCCTGATATTTCACCCACATCTATGGCAGGCATCCTCAGAGGTTATGGGGTTTGTTGGAAATGAGGCAAGTGAGGTTTATATATCTGGAAAGTCCAGGATGGGAGAAAGAACTCTTGTCTGCTTGAGCCAAGTGTGAATGTTGTAACTGGCCACCTTGATTAGCATTTAATGGCCTTGCAGTTTCAAAGCCTGGCTGATTGCTGCCAGATACAAGAGTTCTTTCTCCCACTCTGGACATTACAGATATATAAACCTTGTTACAGTAAGTCATAGCAGGATCAATCATGTGTTAAAGAAAATCCTTATGTTAATTATTATGTACAGCTGGTAATGTAGTTCAGCCAGCATGTTTTGGCCACACCCGGTGTGGTATAACTGTATGGATTTTAGAATATAGTTTGGAGAAGCAATATACTGTAATGCTGCTATGCTCTAACAGTGATGCTCTTTGCTATGGTGGAATAGCTATTTACTCAAGGTTTATGTTTTGCTCTCTCATTTGAATGAAGATGAAGAAGCCTTGTTCTGTGTTACTTAAAAGGACTATGTAAGTTTATTGCACTGTTTGATTTTGTATGCAACACTGCAAGTTTATACCTGTGCTGATAAGAGTAAAGTTTTTTCTGTTCCTTTTCCCCCTCTTGCCTGTGTGTCTTTTGCATGGGACTTCGCTAAAATAGACTCTGCGCAACAAACCTCAATTGCCTAGTTTCTAACAGACCCTTCAACCTCTGAGGATGCCTGCCATAGATGTGGGTGAAACATCAGAAGAGAATGCTTCTGGAATGTGGCCATACAGCCCAGAAAACTCACAGCAACCCAACATCAGTATCAGTCAGTGCTAGCACACACAACTGCTTGACAGGGAAGCAAGAAGTGGGGAAATCCCTCAGTGAACAGGCCGGCCACACCCAGACTTAAACTCCATGTGGCTGAACAACTCACTGCCAGCCATTATCCAGGCCCAAAAGGAAGGGAAGCAGAGCCTATTAAAGCAGGAAAGAGGCTCCTGCTGCTTCCTTAAAGCACTCCTGAAAATAACCACTCCTGTGGGTCATTAGAAACCACAGATACTTCATGGTCTTAGGCTTCAGTACTAAGAATCACAGCTGGAAAGACTAAAGGCTAACAGGAGGGTAATAAAGGAAATCTCAGCAGGCAGTAGTGATTTTTGAATCTTCCACACTTGAAAGCAAAGAGGAGCACTTGACAGCTTTTGGCCCGGATTCAAAAGCCCTGACCTCATCCTTTAAAAGCACGCTGTCACTGCCAAATTTATTGGAAAAAGACTTTTTCCTGCCTCCTGTGTTTGGGGAAAAGAGACAATAGTTTTCCTTATCTTCACATATGCTAAAGGGTGGGGAAAGGGTTCTGATGTTATCAAACACCAAAGGGTCAAACACTAGAGTAGATTAATTAAATGAACAAGGTCTGTGCTAAATGCTGATTTACTCAGTTGCCATTGGTTGATTTCATTCAGAAAGCGGTAACTATTATCTTTTAAAAAGTTTGTTTTGAGTTTACCTTGATTGAATCAGGTAAAGAGCACATAAGCCAAAGCTGACCTGGTAGCAAATAGGAATCCTCCAATTGGAGAAGAGAAGCTAAGTGTTCATATATATTTATTTGGCCACTGGTCACCAACCTTTGGTCCTCCAGGTGTTTTGGACTTCAGCTCCAGAAATTCCAGCCAGTTTACCAGCTGTTAGGAATTGTAGAAGCTGAAGTCCAAAATGCCTGGAGGACCACTGCCTTATGAGGTTATTACTGGTGTGCTGCAACCCTGAAAAGACCTTAGTCCAAGCCTACCTTCTGCTAAACAGAGAAGCAAAGCAGGGACATATGTTTGCTCAAGAGAATGCAGTATTTGTGATTAAATGGCTGTAGAAAGCAGTCCAGGAATCTACACCCAATGTGCTTCACATCCCAGAAGGGCAGGCCCGTAGCCAGGATTTTGATTCGGGGGTGGGTGGGGTGAGTCTGAGTGAAAGAGGGCCTACCCTAGCAAAGCTTTTGTATCATTACCCCAATACCCCCATGCATATGAGATATATTGAGCATGGTGATCAGATCATGATATGAATGAACATAACAGTTTAATAATGTACCAGTAAGGCCTTTTTGCAGACCACCATGAGAATTTCGGGGGGGGGGGGGGGGGGGGGGCTGAAGCCCCCCCAAGCCCTCCCCCCTGGCTACATGCCTGCAGGAGGGCCATGCTTTCATTTAGTATTAATTTCTTATAGTCTTTTAAAAGTGCATATATATATATATATATATATATATATATATATATATATATGTGTGTGTGTGTGTGTGTGTGTGTGTGTGTGTGTGTGTGTGTTGCATATATGTGTGGTTTTGTGCATGTGTTGTAATGTATCTTTTAATTTTTTTGCTTTTAAAGTCTCTTTTGCTGTGTTTTCCTGTGCTTTTATGAGTGATGGTCACTCGTTGGCCTGATAGGTGTATTGTGCCCAAATTTGGTGTCAATTCATCCAGTGGTTTTTGAGTTATGTTAATCCCACAAACAAATGTTACATTTTTATTTATATAGATAGTATAGTGGTTTGAATGTTGGGACTACAACTCCAGAGACTGGGGTTTGTGTCCTCACGAGGCAATGGAAAACCATGGGTTATGTTCTCTGTCTCCAAGGAAGGGCAACCCCCTGAGCAAAATTGTGTGAACCTCCCCCTCCAAAATAATAAAAGTTGCCAGTCAGACATGGCTTGAAGGCCCACAACAATGATAGGCATTTATTGTTAATTTAGTAAGAACTTTTGCCTATTACCTACCACGGTGCTTCTCAGAGCAACACACAATAAATACATTAAATATACAGAGTAGCAAAGCCTTGCTTTGAAGAATAAAGCTCACAAGAAACAATTGTTGCCCTCTTCTCAAGAGTAGAGCCAACCTGATTTCCCCCTTTTGGGGTGGGGGGGGGGGGTTCTATTGCTGGGCTGTTGCTTACAGAAACTGTAATAATATATCTTCCCCTTCAAAAAAAAAAAATGAAAACAAAAGACTCCTAAATTGCTGTATTGTTTCTCTACTATAGCATAATCAGTACCCAAGTTCACTAGGGACTCTTCTAGACAGTCCCTATATCCCAGGACCAGATCCCATATTTTCTGTTTATCCCAGATTATCAGGCAGCGGGGACTCATATAATCCAGTTTAATGCAGAAAACCTGGGATTGGATCCTGGGATAAAGGGCCTGTCTGGAAGGGCCCTAGGTCAGAGGCTAAGATAGGTTTGCTGTCCTGTCTCCTTCTAACTATAGCCAGACAAAATATAACTAGTAATCCCATTCCCAATACACAAAAACTTCCCATTCTTTTATCTTTGCCACATAGATACACTGCATCAGGATGAAGAGGCATACCCAATTCTAATGCATATTTTAGGAGGAAATTATCAGAATTTAAAAAACAAACAAATCCCAAAGTTTTTAACTGAAAAACAGCCAACTGCAACATCTAATTACATTCTAGGCAAAACACCATTTCAAAGAGCAATACCAACTTACCACAAAACCAACTTGGCTTCTCAAAGGCCCCTGGTGAACAAAAGGTGAGGAGCCCAGGGTGGTCTTATGTAATAGTGAAGGGCGGGACAGCCTTGATGGACTGCCCAGTGGAGCAATCAGAAGCTAGGAAAGCCACTGTCTCTTAGGAGTAAAGCCTACTTCTCAGCAAACAAGGATAGGATCATGCCCTTAAGAGATATCAGGATATGGAAAATTTACTTTGGGATGTTGATTCCCACACTTTTCCAATCAGCAATGCTGCCTGGAGCTTTCTTGACATCGTTGCGAAAATGTGTATAAGCATTGGGAATTATGTGGCTTATGGCTTTTTCTCTGTGTTTCTGCTTTCCTTATCTTTCCTGTTGAAAACCTGCCTTCTGACCTGTGTTCTTGAGAACAGAGCCTGCCAGGATGTGTGTTTGAGAGAAATGGTTTCTTCCATTTTGGCATTTGCCTTGAAACCTGCACCATAATTGGTTGATAGTTACCAGGGTGGCTTACCCAAGGTAGCATCATTGATTTTCATTGTTATTGTTGCGTTGTTTTTATTGACACACTCAAACCAGTGTGCAATACTTTTTAAGATTTAAACCCAACTCTAGATGATGATTATGATGTTTATTTATACCCCGTTTTCCCTCCACAAAATGTTACCAGACTACAACTTCCAACAGCTCCAATCAGGATAGCCAATATTAATTAATGATGGAGATTGTAGTCCAAAAATACATGCAAGGCCAAAGCTGCCCATCCCTCATCTGTGGCCTACCTTGACCGATATAACCCAGCAGTGCTCAGAATGTGACTTTGGGTGCATCTACATAGTAGAATTCATGCAGTTTGACATCATTTAAACTGCCATGGCTCGATGTTATGGAGTTCTGGAAGCTGTAGTAGTTTGTGATTTGAGAAACTGCAAGTTGCTTCTGATGTGAGAGAATTGGCCTTCTGCAAGGACATTGCTCAGGGGGCACTTGGATATTTTGATGTTTTACCATCCTTGAAGGAGGCTACTCTGATGTCCCTGCATGAGGAGCTGGAGCTGACAGAGGGAGCTCAACCCGCTCTCCCCAGATTCGAACCACTGACCTGTCAGGCAGCAGTCCAGCCGGCACAGGGGTTTAACCCATTGCGCCACCAGGGGCTCCAGTAGTTTGGTGGGGCACCAGCATGCTTTGGCTAAGAGGGCTAAAGAACTTGTAATACTATAACTCCCATGTTTCCATATCATTGAGCCATAGCAAAGTTGTGTCAAGCAGTATTAATTCAATGATGTAAATTGTTTATTGTGTTACTTTCCTATTCTGTGAGCCATCTAAAGAATGCAAGTGAGGTGGCAGCCTTG